CCTGCCACTGCAACGAGTGTGGTGTACGTGCTCGTTCTGGGCGACCGAGGAGTCGATTTGAAATTCAGTGAGACTTCAACGCACTTCAGACGGGCAGGAGGTCGTATGCAATGTGTACAGTGTGAGAGTGGGAGGAACATTGAAGTCTCGCAATGGTGAGGTCAGAGATGGCCGAGCTCGCCGCAACAGCTTCGACAGGGACCGGACCAAATTCCGATGAGCAGAGTCGCATTTGACCAGAGGTCTGGCCTTAGCTCGAGATGCTATGAGCGAGACACTCACAAGCTAGCAATGCATGATGGGCTCTGATAGAGTATTGGCATATCGTTAGCTATCGTGCATACAACACTACAGCCAGATCTGTGCAAACACACACAACGCCTATGCGCGGACGTTCCATCATATCGGCGATGTGTCGCATCAAATGCCGTACCTATGATACAGTTCTTCCCTCGTGCGTTCTCATCCTATCAGCCCTCACGAGGCCTTCACGCTCTTCGGCTGAATCCTCGCCATCATCTCTTCCTTCGTGATGAGATGATCGATTCTCTCCAAGAGACCTAGCAAACTCTTCATGTTGCCGCTCCATTCGTTCAGCACCTCGTCTGCGTCCCGCTTCTTCTCGAAGCTAACAATCTGTGCTGGTCGATCGATTCGTGCATAGATCGTCTTGCTGGTGACAAGATCTGAGATGTATTTCTCAGTCTCCTCCGCTGGCAGATCGAGTAGCTCTGTGAGCCGTGAGAAGTGCACGCGAGTGTAGTACTTCGCGATGACACGAACGTTGTGCTCAATGACACGCTTGCGGAAGTCAAGCCAGCGCTGATTTGCCTTGGGATCCTTCTTCGGATCCGATTTGGCCGCTGAGAAGATGTCGGTGCTTGTGAGCTGCTTGCCAAAGTTGGTCTCGATCGCCGGCCAGCGCATGAGTTCGTGAGTTGTAAAGAGCTTGAGAAGTTCCGCTTCTTGTGGACAAGATGTTGCAATTCGTGAGTCTTGCGCGATGCGATGTAGTAGATCAGACTGTTCGTTGTCGTATGGTGCCAGAAGGATGAAGTAGACCACGCGCTGCAGAGCTGCGCGAAGTCTGTCTGGGTCGTCCTCCACAGCCTCAGTGTCCAACACTGACCGATAGTGCTTGCAAGCCTCCAGGTACTTGTCGTCGTGCTTGGTGAGTGTGATCTGTTGTTCGTAGAAGCGCAACTTCAGGTCTGTGACATCGTCGTCAATAGGCTCTTCCACTTCTCCCGCGCTGACCTCCGCAGCGAGGCGCTTCTTCTCCTCTCTCTCCTTCTTCTCCTTCTCAATCTGCTCTTCTGTCTTCTTTGGCTTTCGTGCAAAGTAGCGTGTGCTAATCTTGCGCGACAGGATGCCCGCCTGTGTCCAATCTCCATCTTCAATGCAGAGTGACACCTGATCGAGGATGAACTCATTCTTCTCTCGCCTCGTCATCGATCCAAAAGTCTCGACCTGCAACTCGCATAATGTGTCCTTGGCGGCAGTGACCTTGCCCTGTGTGTGTTGGATGTTCGACAGGATGCGTGTCACACGAGCTCGCTCAACCTCGACGAAGATCTGCAGCCCTAGTCAGTATCCTATTGCGAGTCACTTGTACCAACTGCATCTCACCTTGCCCTCTGTGACGGCGCGGAGCGTCTCAATCACGCTCAGCTTCACTTCCAAGTTCGGTGTGTCATCCAGAAAGCCCATGACCACTTGGACCATCTTTGAGATGGCTTGCTTGAGTTGTCCATGCTTCTTACTCAGCAACTGCACTTGCTCATTCAGCAGACTCCAATCGCCAGACTCCTTTGATATTGTGACGATGGCGACGATCAGGCGCGATGTGGAGGGAAGATCGGAAGATTGCCGCGTCTGCTTCTCCAAGCTGAGCAACTTGTCGATGGCTTGCTGTGTTTGGCCATCCTGTGTGTCGATGTCAGTCTTCTAAAGCATCAAGCCCATTACGAATATGTATCCCACCTTGGCGATCTTTTCAGCCTCGGGAAGAAGAGCATCGACTTCTTTCGTATAGTCCTTGTCGGCCTTCAAGATGCTGCCGTCAGACATCTTGTGCCGTGTTCCCGGTTGTCGAGTGGCTGCTACCGCTTAAAGCTATCTCGATCGCAGTTTAGGCAATGTGGCACGGAAGTTTCGAGGGCAAAGTCGGATACGTGGAGCTGAGGCTGGTAGTTGATGGCGGATGTGGTGTTGTCGATGTTTCGAGATCCGCAAGCTCACTTGGTGAAGCTGTGACGCGCCATCCGGAGGCAACTCTGCCGACGTAGTCTAATGCTTGGCACATCAACAACACTTCACTTCTCCCCTTGCCGCACCAGCTTTCCTCTATGCTGCAGCTGCTATGTGTCAGAAGACCGCGTGTCCTATTGCTGGAATGTGCCTGGACCCGATGTCTTCAAATTCGTGGACAAGGTGGCACTCCGCCGCCGAAACACCTCAGGTTCTGGGCCGAGCATGAGGATGGAATTGTACTGCAAAGGCGGAAGGAGGGCGCCGACTTCTCATCTATTGCAACCGTACTTGACCGCACTGCGGACAGTGTCAGAGCTCGATACGGCAGGTTTCTCGATTCCAAGCCACCACGCATCAACTCTGAACAAGCTCTCACTCAACACCAGGACGAAGTCATCATCCAGCGAATGTGCGAGGGTGTTGCGACCCGCTTGATCGCGAAAGAACTGCATCGCTCCGTGTCTCAAGTGAGAAATCGTTGCAGCGTGCTGCAATTCAGGCCTGACGTTCCCGAAGCGGCTTTTGCAAGATACAGTCGGCCAAGATCAAAGCTAGGCGCCTTGGATCGCCCCGAGGCCGAAGCCCTAATTGAGCGGCGTTACGGTGAAGGCAAGACTCTCAAAGCTATCGCAAGCGAATTGCAGTGCAATGCAACCACTGTCTGGCGCTGGTTCAGCTCTATGGGACTCTCCAGAAAGCAACGCACTGGGTTCGAAGGCAAAGGATTATCCGATCCAGAAATTCAAACGATACTGCGTCGCAGGTCTGAAGGATGGACATATCCAGCGATCGCATCCGAACTAGGTCGCACTATGGGGAGTGTGCGCTATTGCTTGCGTAGGCAACGAATTTTGGAGTTCACACGCAAGCCACGCCGGGCCTTTACGCCGGACGAGGATCAGGAATTACTGAAATTGCACAGAGGCGGCAATACTCACTCTGAGACCGGAAAGCTTCTTGGCCGCGCTCCAAGTGTAGTAGGCAGACGCCTGAAGCAGCTGGAGAACCCGCGGCTGAGCGATCCCCCCAGATGGACCACGGAAGAAGTCGAAGACCTCGTCACACAATACGACCGAGGCGTTCCAATCCGCGTCATAGCCGCCGCACTTGAGCGCGATTGCGAATTGGTCAAAGCCAAGTTGCAGCTCACCTTAGTGAGGAGAGGGCGTACAGACTGGTCGCCTGTAAATCCTGCTCGCGGCGCAAGCTAGATCCGCAAATACAGCTCCTCCATTCCGGCGTCATCTCACAAACTCAAGGACAAGTCAACTGGTAAGATCGTTCTAGTTGGCTCTTCAGCTCCTGCAACGCTTCTGACTGAGAATCTCACACTTCCGTTGCGGACTTACACATTAAATCCGCGAGACCAATTTAGATGATCTCGAGGGCAGAAGTTTGAGCAAACTTGGCAGTGACAGGCCACAATAGCTGGACAGAACAAATAGCCATTCAACATTCGTCATCAATATGCTAGTCTAGCGTCTGGGTCGGATAACATTTCTATCTGCTTGCTGTTTCAAGCTCTGGACTTGGGTGAGATCGCATTATTCATCATCGTCATCAAAATCATGGCCATCCTATTCATCACAATCCACCTCTTCTTCCCCGTTTTCGCATCGATCGACTTGAGAAGCCATCTAGCACCAACCAGGCGAGCAGTAGCCGTTCCAGTTGGTCCATTGCGTTGGCCAGTAGGTGTACCAGGTGTTGTAGTAACCGTAGTAGTAATAGTACAGCCAGTACAAGTACCACAGATTTCCATTCCAGCCATTGTTCTGCCAGTTGTTGACGCCCCAGACATTGTTGTCAAAGACCTGATTAGGCCACCACGCACGTGCATTATTCCACTGGTTTTGAGTAGGAACTGTGCCAATGCGACCATTGGCCCAGTTACGGGCCTGTCCTTGCCAGTTGGCGACCAAGTCGATTTTGATACTGCGGGCTTTGATGTCATGATCGACCCTCGCGAGGTCGAGATCAACGTCCAGTTCTTCGGTCTCTGGCGCTGGAGCAGCTTCAGGGAGTGGCTCAGCGACTGGTGCAGCATTGCGGGCAACGAGGCCGTCATCCTTTTGAATGTCAGTGAGGAACCCGAGGACAAATCCGATGACACAAGCGCACCTGCACTGGGGCTGGGAGTGGTCCAGCAATGGCACTGCCGACAGACAGAGCAGCCAAAGAGGCAGCGATGAACTTGAATTGCATGTTGCTGTGAGTTGTTGAACTTATTGGTGTGGATCTGATTGCTGTAGCTGCTTTGTTTTGCTTTGGTGCTGCTGATGATGTTTTCGAAGGAAATGACGATCGTACTTATACTGCTTTGATGCCACTCAGTCACCATCGTCAGTGAGTTGTACTTCTTGGCTCGTCAAGGCCTTCGCATAGCACGGAACGTCTTCGAATTCCATTTCGGGCAATAGAGGCAAGGTAAAGGCCCTTGGCGCAACTGGAGTGTCACCAAAGATGGTTGCACTTCGCCTCGCTGTCAGCCGTCGCGCAGTGCGCGGACTTGGCGCCCTGCATCACATCAGTCGTATTGAGCTGCCTGGAACCTGGTCTCTGTTCTGCACAAGCAAGTCACATAGCAAATGAACTGCTGCGGAGTCACCGCTTATACCGGCTGATCTCAACTCTGTTACCCTAAACGACAGCCCTGCAAACTTTTCTGCTGGCCGTTGATTCCGATGGGACGATTGATGCTGACACCCTTGATCACGGAGGGCGGTGCTACGCAGGTTGCCCACGTGCATTGCGGCTACGCGGTCCTCGCCAACCTCATGATCCTACTCTCCAAGCTATATGCCAACCGAGCAGTTCAAGGACGGAGTGTAGACTGGTGACGTCTAGATCTTGGAAGCTTCGCGGCAAACATGGAGACATGGTTGATGCTTGAGCACCATGTGCAAGAATGTGTACATCTCCAGTATGGAAACGTCATTTACTGTGGTGCGTATCCATGTATTGATGCCTCCACAGTCAGAGGTGCAGTCAAAGATTGGTCGATGGCGGGTTTGAGCAAGTAATTGTGGAGATGAACATCGCAACTCAAGTGAAAGCTTGCCAGATGTTCTGTGAATTCCATCCCTTGACAGTCAGTGCAAGAGATTGTTTGGCGTACTGTACGACAATTCCACCACTTCATGATTTGTCGAGCGGGCTCTGGCTGACGAGCCGTTGCGCAAGGGTGGCCAGTCGGAGTTGGAACTCAGGCCAATATCGCGGATAGTGGACGGATTTAGCTCCTCAATTCGAAGAGCGCAGGCTGATCGCAGTAGTCTCCGAAGGTGTTTTGCTAGCAGTGCTGCAGCGTGCAGTAGGGCAGGCGTGTTCGACGCTCCGCCATTCGCAAGCACATCCCCGGGGATCACATGTGCGAATAAGCTTATCGTTAAGTTAGCGTTGCATGTGCACAGCCAGCATCACTACAAGCGATGACCACCGCTCGTCGTCCGCACTGAGCCAAGGCCCTTTTACTTCCAACAACAGACTGTCAGATGCCAAATAATGGCCCCGGTAAGAAATCTTGGCGCTGGGTTTGCAGGCGGTCAAGGATACAAGCACATTGATGTGGGTCATACACTGTTGGCTAAGGAGAACGCCAAGACGAGTGCCACAAACTTTCATGGCACAAGTTGGGTGAAGTAGCTTGTATGCGCATTATAGGGACATCCACCAGTTCGGAAGGCAGCGGACTAGGAATCGTGGAGGCATACTATCGCAACTGCCTCCGGGCTTATGCTTTGTGAGCGAATTTGCAGTCTTCCAAGTTCTCGCCTTGCAGCAGTATTCTGTGTATATGTGTGCTGCGCCATGCATTCGTAGATCGGATACCTCGAATCGAAAAATCGCAGATTATAAGCACATGCCCTAGGTCGCAATGCAAGAAGCGATTCGCTACCAAGAAGCATTCTCGTTCTGATCGCCGCAAGGTCCGAGCCTCCCAGATCTCGTCGCCCGCAGTGCGGACAGGCTAGAGCTGTTGTGAATCGAAGGCGCCAAGCTCAGCCTAAGACTCTGTGCAACATCGACAGTCTCGCAAAGTCGAATCGCATAATCATCTGAACCAATTTTAGCAACCAGGCCAGACTTTCTGGCAGTAGGTGATGTCAGCCGCGCAGTCATAGTCTTATAGCCCCTGCTGAACGTGTCGCCTCTGCGCAGTACTGGAGTCAACTTAAGCTTTTGAGAGTCCGCTGCAAGGAGGACGCTAGCTCGAAGATTTGCAAAGCTCGCTATGGGTACGAACACCGGCAAGAAATGCGATTTCTGGCGAGATGTCCCTCATCTTGCTGGTAGAAGCTGGACTGTCGATTCTGATACTCGACGCCGCTGTGTTCGCGTCTCAACAAACCCTGCAAGGCTCTTGGAGTCGTTCCAAAAAGATGCCCAAACATCTCAATGCTTCTAAGGTCAATACTCAAGGCACCGCAGGTACTTCATTCCTAGTGAGGTCAAGGTGTCACTTCCGGTCGTCATCATCTTTTCTACCCTCGAAAGCAGAACTGTTGCCGTTGTAGAATTCGGGGTTCTTCGCCCTCTCCCGCTCAGCCTCCGCACGCTGATCTGCCAAGGTCTTCACCTTGATCTTTGCTGACCCGAGTGACTCCGACGAGCCATCCAAGCTTGTCGGGCCCTCGTCGTCCGAAGCGCTGCGCGACTGCCTCGCAGTCGACTCTGTCGGAGCTGCAGTTGCTGATCCTCCCAGTCCAGGCACATACGATATCGCCGATCCAAGAATGCTGGAGGCGCCGTTGGCCAACGCATATGTGTAATGCAGTGCACTGCTCATGTATCCCCTACCAGCATTGCCACTGTAGGCCTCCGTATAACCAGCAACAGGGACGAGGACCAATGTCGCATTCGGCGTCAGCCCAAGATCCGCAAGCGAGTGGCGTTCCTCGCTGACTTCTATACTACGGCTCGGCAGCGGGGACATAATTTGCTTGAATGTGAATGGGACATCGGCCGCGTTGATGTTGCCTTGCTCGGCTGTGGTGGATTTAATCCAATCCCGGACAGTGCTGTCGAGGGTAGCTGAGGGCTCGAAGCGTCCTTTGATAGAAGTTCCATCGAACAGTCTGACCTGAAGACTACACATGCCTCCAGCACCCGTACGTCGCTTGCTCGCTGCTTCTATTGATGTGGGCAGCCGGCTCTCAGGTGCAGCCTCGCCAGCTGCACGCTGTGTGCGAGCTTTGCGCTCTTGCTTGTCTGCTTCGATCTGTGCTAGAATACGTTCTCGGTCCTTCTTGGCCTCATCTTTCCGTATCTTTTGCTGCAATATCCAGTCTCTACGTGACTTTTCCTTTTCAGTCTCCTCGGTCGCTCTTCCCTTTCCTTTGTCTGAGGCAAGCGCCTTTTCTTCTTCTAGCCGTCGAGCTTTTGCACGTGCAGCGCGTTCTGCCTTCTCTGCAGCAGCTCGCTTGGCAGCCTCTACTTCGTGGCGTTGGGCGCGATCTGGAAAGAGTGTTGACATGTTTGCGCTGGAGCTTTCGGGCGCAGGAAAAGGAGTGCTTTCTGATACGGTCGCTGGCTGCTGGGGTTGCTGTGAGGGTGGCGCAGTCGACTCTGCCGAAATCGTGCTAGGAGGCTGCACTGCTTCATGTCCGTCCTGCTGCTGCGTATTTGAGCTCGTTGGTGCAGCCGAATCAGTGACCGGGTTTTCAGGCCGATCTTGCTCCTGGCTCCGCTGCTTCGCCGCCTCGAACTCACTCTTCTTCATCACATGAAATTCTATGTCCAAAGCTGTACTGACTCGTGTCATGAACCCTTCATGGCCGATGCCCCCTTCGATCTTGTCTACTACTCTTCCCTTGTCTATGACCACGAAGGTTGGGCTACTCGTGATGGGACAAAAGGCGCTGAGAAACCCTGCTTCCTGACTGCCATATTGAAGCTTTAGGATGACAGCCTTGGTAGCCCAGATATCGATAGGGGCTGGACGGCGCCCTATCCCGAGCCACTGATGCTCCCATTTCTGGCTCTCTTCGTTGTCGGAGGAAATAAAGCAGGCGACAAGCTTCTGCTCGGTAAGTGCGCGACTAATGCCGCTCTGCAAGTCGCCTTGGTGGAACATGGTTTCGTAGATGCCCGACGGGCAGTGAGTAGGGAATAGGTGTTGTAGGTGTGTCAAAGGTGCAGCAGTAGTCCTGGCTGGACTGAGGTGACGTGACGCTTGGTCCGCTTATCTCCGACCAATGCCAAGCCTCTAAGCGACTCACGTATGAACAAGTGGAAGTCTATACGAGTTGAACAATGAACAAAGAACGATCGAAAAACTGCTGGAACTAACAAGTCGCAAGCGTTCACGTCGGACACTGTCAACCGCTTTCTACATATGGTGGGGGACTCAACCCGTCTCCAAACTAGCGTGTAATTACTGAAGCGAAGGTGACTTGACTTTCTTCCGCGGCTGCGGCTCTTCCCAAGTGTGCGTTGTCAGCGAACAACTCTAAAGTCTCGACTGGTCACTGTTGTACCGCTCTTTGATGATATGATACCTATAGGCTCTGCGGACGCCGCTTGGCGAACGGCCCATCCGAACAGCTATGTCGCGGAATGGCACACCTTCTGCGACCAGGCGACGAAGTTCATCCAAGTCTTCTTGACTCCACAATTCACCTGTTCTGGTTGCTTCGAATGAATCCCTTTTGATCCTGTGGTAACGCAGGCAGAGTGCAGCTTGCGACCACCGTGGCATTTGGAAATGGACGTCCTTCCACGGCATTCCCGAGTCTCTCATTTCAACCATCTTTCGCTGCTCATCCAGGCTCATCACCAAGTGCTTTTCACCCGAGGCTCCCCGTCTCTCACGTTGAGCAGTGCTATGCCTCGACCGACCAAGGGCATTAGCGGCCTCCACGATACTCGCGCCCCCGCGCCGCATCTCCAGCAACTTCATCGACTCGTCCTCCGTCCATTTCCGATGCACAGTCTTTGGTCTCGCGTACGGTCGACCAGCACGCTTGCCTTGAGACGCTGTCCGGGAGCGTCTGCTTTTTGCATTGCTGACACTGTATACAGACCGTCCCAGTGCGTCCGCCATCACGCGATTGCTCACTTTCTGCGCAATGAGGGCATCAAGCTTGCATAGCTCTTCCTCCGTCCAAGGATCTCGATGTGTACGAGGCAGCTCCCATTTGACAGATGCAACGCTCCTCCCCAATAAAGACGCGATCTCCTCATCTGTCTTGCCACTTTTCCGCAGTTTCTTCAACGTCACACGATCCTTTACGGTCCATTTGCCCGTTTCTGAAGGGGCTGACAAGCGTCTTAAATGCTCCGAGGGAGATTTATATGTCCATTTCGCACTCGCGCCGAAGTGTCTCCAACCAGAGAAGAGCAGCGGAGGTATTCTGGAGAGCATGCTCGATAAAACTCCAACGTTATGCATGCCATCAAATGCGTCCAGAAATGTGTTGAAAATGTCTGTGAAACAAGTTCATTCTCTGAACTGACACGACGGGACTGACCTGTCTGTCTCCGCGCATGTGCATCTTGGATGTTGAACTGTGATCTCCTTGCAAATGCGAAGTCCAGCAGGACGCGACGTGACAGCGGAGTTCATCCCGATGAGCCAATGATTGGCCACTCAGTCAGCATCACCTCCGAGCCCAAGCATTTCTAGGACTTCTTTCCTCATCAATCCCTTCACATCCGTTAGGCAGTCCTTCTTGAAAAGCGGACCGTCGTTGGAGAAGATGTTGCCGACCACGGCTTTCAGGCCGAGCTGCGCAACATGCAGGCTCCGAGGATTGCTTCGAAGGATGGAAATGGCGAGGACGAGGAGGACCAAAAGTACAGCATCATCGACGATATCGCGTTCAACGACAAATCCGGCACAATCGACGAGAAACGGAGAATCGAGGTTGTCGATGAGGTATCAGACACGATCATTCAGTCAAAGCACGAGAAGGAAGGCAAAAGCTACAGGCTTTACACGACAGCAAGAGATCGAGCTCATTGAGACATTATACACGAGAGGTCATATTTCGCGTGAGGAATGGCGAGATAGTGTCTTTGCACAATCTGGGTTACGCACCGAAGGAGCGGCGATCGAAGATGTGGCAGGAGACAATGCAAAGCTGGAAGCAAGAGTTCGAACACTGCGCGAGTATTACGGAACCGCGACTATTCCTTCACAAGTCCTGGACGGGGACGAAATCACAGTTCACCAAAGATTATTTGGTGATTTACGACAGCTGGAGGCGATCAGCGAGGAACCTAGCGACCTAGGACAATTGATGAGTAGAAGTAGCACGGGAGTGATCGATCAAGAGGGAGAGGAGGTGGAGTTTGATGAGAACGAAGCCTTGGATGAGGATGAGCTGTCAGAGGAGGACACACCGATAGGTCAAGGGCGGCCAGAGCGACATCGTCCCAGCAACGAGAGACTAGCAGACGATATGCGTGCTGCATTCGATGCTGGCACAATCTCGGAAGCTATATCGCAACAGGACACAGTACTTGCCGATGAAGCCGCGGTATATCAGCGTACGCATCCATTAACCCTCGAAGGGCGATTTGCGACTTCTCCGTCAACGATAGAAATGCCAAAAACACCATACGTTGACCCAGTCACCGGAATGCTCTCAGGTATATCAAACACGCACCTCAGCGATGCTGCGCACCGAGTCTTTGGAGGTCCTGGTCTACCATACAGTACCTCTACACCTGCCAGAGGGAAGCTAATGCCTCAAAAGGCGATCACTCTGGATGCCTATCAACCGCAAATGTCTGAGATCGAGGGCGACGTTTATATGAGTACGCTATACCCAGGAGTCTATGCGAGCGTGTTGAGTGTCTTGGTAGAGACGAGAAAGAGGCTAGGAAGTGCTTGGGCGGAAGGCCTAGTCCGTAAAGCTGAAGCCGGAGAGCTAAGAATCCTGGATGCCGGTGGAGGCGGTGCTGGAATTCTTGCTGTACGAGAGATTATTCGAGCCGAATGGGAACGTCTGATTGGGAAGTCAGAGGATGATATGGAAAGTCCAATGGCCCTAGCAGAGGCTGACGGAAAAATCGGTGGCGCTGGTGTGGGTGCGCCATTGGGCCATGCGACTGTGTTGACGAGTTCAGACGTGCTCAGGAAACGAGCGAGCAAGCTTCTCGAAAACACGACTTTTGTGCCAAGACTGCCCGATTATCTTCACGCGGAGAGTGCGCCATCTCAGGGCAAGTTCGACATTGTCGTTGCGCCACATACTTTGTGGCAGTTGCGGGAAGACTACGTTCGCAAGACCCATGTGCAGAATCTTTGGTCTCTGCTGTCAACAGATGGTGGAGTGCTGGCTCTTCTCGAAAAAGGCGTGCCACGAGGATTCGAAATGGTAGCTGGTGCGCGAGACCTTCTCCTTGAGCAACGCATCTCCTCGCCTGGCTCGGAGCAGCGCCTCACAAACATCGAAGAGAAGCTTCCGAATTCTGGCGGAAATTATGAGCACATCGTCTGGGACGATGCTGTAGGCGAAGGTAGTGCCGAAGAGGTACATGCAGAAGGACCTGACCTTTCGACCCAGCCGAAGGAAAAAGGCATGATCATCGCTCCATGCACGAACCACGCCGACTGTCCCATGTACGCCCAAAAAGGCCACGTCAAAGGCCGCCGCGACATTTGCGCCTTCGAACAACGCTACCACCGCCCAGCTTTTCTACAAAACATCTTCGGCACCAAAGGCCGCAACCACGAAGACGTCGAATTCTCCTACATCTCTGTAATGCGAGGCCGAGACCTCCGCACTCCCACCGACAACCTCACAACGACGCCTCTCATACAATCCCCCACAACCACCGACCGCGCCTTCATCGGCTACGAAAACACCACAACCCATTCCTCCACCCCTCCACATCCCCTCTCCCTCCCTCGCACCATCCTCCCACCCCTCAAACGCCAAGGCCACGTAATCCTAGACCTCTGCACCCCCTCAGGAACCCTCGAACGCTGGAC